AAATAAAAGTGAAAGAAGGATTTCTAAGCCATATCCAAATTTTAGTTAGGAAGCTATTCACCAACTTCCTCATTTTTTAAAAACTAGTGGTTTTCATCAAAAATGAGCAAGGCACTAAAAGAACAGTCAGCAATAGGGAAGTCTAGGTATGCACTGGAGTGTTGGGAGGTGCAGCTGAGGGGTTCACAGCAGCAAGAACGCAGATGATAATAATGCCTAGGATTGCTTTGGAGACTGAAATAAGCTTTGTAATATTAATGCAGACAGACCAACACAGTTATACAGGAACTCATGAAAGTTAATCAGATGGTCCTTGAAGTGTCCCGTTTTCCTAGCTCATGGACTTGGATGTATTTCCTTGTCACATGTGGTTTATAGCATAGTCATGTTATTTTCATTATGTTCCAGGCATTCTCATGAGACTTTTTACAGTCTGGATTCTAGGGGAACTGCATTATATATTTCAACCACTAGATGGCAATATACGACTTCGTAAGTGGATGTCTTTTTCCCAGGCACTGAAATGTCTAAAAATAAAATAAGTAAGAAATGAAGATTATTCCAAGAAACATAGAGAGGATACAGATTAATATCTCATACAGAAGTGACTATTAAGATTTATAAATTTGGGGTTGGAGAGGTGGCTCAGCCAGTTGTTAAGAGCACTTATTGCTTTTGCAGAGGACTCAGGTTTGGTTCCCAGTACCCATATGGGGCTTCACTACAGTCTGTAACACTAGTATCAGAGGATCTGATGCCCTCTTATGGCCTCCACAGGGCTACCTTCTGAACGCACATGGTACAAAAAAACTCATTCAAGCACACATACTCACTCAAGTACATATGCATCATATACATAAAAATAATTTTAGAGGATATATAAATTAAAGAGTATAGAGACTTTTTCCTACATCTTTTGTTATAGGAGTTGGGAGAGGGGAAACAGATTTGGTCAAAGGAAACAGAGTTTAGTTATGTAAGATGACCAAAACCTATAGTTTTATTGGACAACAGAATACCTATAGTTAAGAAAATTGTAGTATATACTTAAAACTTTATTAAGAGGGCAGATCTTATATTAAGTGCTCTTACCACAAAAGAAAAAATAATTAAAAAGAAAAGGCAAGGAAAGCATTGGAGGTGATAGGTATGTTTATAGTATAGATTGTGATGTTTTTCTGTATGTATGCTTATCTCTAATCTCATAAAATTTTATATTGCACGCATTAAAGATGTATTCCTTTCCATAAGTTGATCACACCTTCCATTCATAATATGATTTTTCTAAAAGTGATTCATATAGGGCTAAAAGCTGAGGCTAAGATCCTCTCTAAAACCTTCTCCAGTTTTGAATTTTTTCTCTTCTTTCTTTTTTTCTTTCTTTCTTTCTTTCTTTCTTTCTTTCTTTCTTTCTTTCTTTCTTTCTCTCTCTCTTTCTCTCTCTCTCTCTCTTTCTTTCTCTCTCTCTCTCTCTCTTTTTCTTTCTTTCTTTCTTTCTTTCTTTCTTTCTTTCTTTCTTTCTTTCTTTCTCTCTTTCTTTCTTTCTTTTTGTGGAGGAGGGTAAGGCAGTCTCACTGTGCAGCCCTGGCTGACCTGGAACTAACTATGCAGACCAGGCTGGCCTCCAACTTGCAATGAGCCTCCTGCGTTACTCCTGAGTGAGGGATTACAGCTAGATTTCATATCAGCAAGGGAAACTGGCCTGATAAAACCAAAGCTCAGAATGCAAGTACATATACTTAAGAGAAATGTATACTCTCCCTGCCCTGCTTAACACCTCTATTGCTTTTGCTTCCCGTATATGATTCCAAGTACAGGGCTTGTAGCTTCTGGACTCCTCACACCTGCCTTTGGCTGATACTGTCTGGCTGATCTCTGATCCAGGAATGGATCTTGACGACACCCAAACACTCCCACTGTCCACATGTACATTACAATTTCTAACCTGGCTGCTGGCATGCCTCCCTCCTTCTTCCTATTCTCAGCATTTCTGTCCGGAAAAGTGCAAACACCTCCTGCTACCATCTCACCTGTGCTGAGTCACAGTGGTAGGAATGGGATGTCTGTGGACTTAGAAGTTTCTGGTGACAGTACATCAGGAACTTTCAGGAATATGGAGCAAATCTTGGGTAACCAGCTTCCCCCTTCTATCCTCAAAAATGAGTAAAAGTTGTCAACTTGTAAGGATCTATGCATGTAAAGCACACTCCCAAATTAGTTTTTTTTTTTTTTTTGGGGTTGTGTGTGTGTGTGTGTGTGTGTGTGTGTGTGTGTGTGTGTGTGACATTATTGCTACAGAGGGGTGAATAAGCATCGATTCACACCAGACAGAGAACTGACAACAGATCAAAGTAAGGATATCACTGAAGTCCAATTTGGTGAACCAATGAGTTTTATTGGAGTTACTAACAGGAATACGGGTGAGGGGTGACTTACAGGAGCAGGAACGACTCAAAGATATCTGTATCACCAAAGCCCACCCCAGCATGGGTGACTGCTGATAAAAGCAGAAACCCTGGAGCACACTGTACAACTTCCCGGTAGCTCAATAGTTCGGGGAGTATCGCTCAGCAGTTCTTACAGCTTATATAGGTGTGGGAAGGGAGAAGCCTAGCATATCTGGTCACTTTCAGGGACTTACTGAAGCCTTTGAGTGGCTTACTTCCTAAGCTTACAGAGCTTCCTTGCAGGATGGACTATTTCACCTCCCTTTAGAACAGCCTGTTTCTTAAGAGGCTTCCCTTCAAGATGGAATGTTTTATTTCAAAGGAAATTGCAACATGGATATTTGTAGATTTGAGTCTATTGGAGGAAATACAGGAAATCAGGCCTCATCAAACATACTCTAGCCATCATGCATTTTTCTATTAAAAAGGAATGAAACAAAGGCTGCTATCTAATGTCAGTAACGTTAAACCAAAAGCAGCACTTGAAAACCACTTTGAAAGAAAAAGATGAAGGACTAGAATATTAAAGACATCAGTAGTTCACAAAACACTAACACTGTCATTAGATATAACACACCAAATGCTGACGTTTTCTGTGTGTGTGTCTAAGTCAGTGTCTTGCTATGCAGGCCACACTTGTCTCAAATTTATATCCTCTTCTCTCAGCCTCCAGAGTACTGTGATGACAGGGACATGCCACCAAGCACAGTTTCAGAGTAGTGTCTACGGTCCTGAGAAAACTTCCACTTTACATCATTAATTACTGGCCTTGTTCATAATTTTATTTCAACTCCTACATCAATGTGTAGTTTTTTGAGGGGTTGGCTTACATGAAATTGCCAATTTATGATAATTTTGACCAGCAGAGTCACAATTCTTGTACATATCAACTATATCAGTTACTTTGACAAAATACCTGACAAAAGAAACTTAAGGATGGTAGAGTTTATTTTGGCAACCAGTTGAGGTATAGTCCATCCTGGTGGCAGAACTGTAGAATGAGGATCAGGAGCTCAAGCTCATCCTGAGCTTCATAGCAAGCTCTAGGCCAACCTGGGCTATATGAGACCCTGTCACATAAAACCAAAAAAGTAAAAAAAAAAAATAAAGAAAAGGAAGAATAGAAAGAAACTGTATTGCTGATAAAAACAGTCCTTTTTGGTTTCCTTATTCTCCTTTTATCCCACTCAGTCTAGCTTGGTTTAGGAGTAACCCAGTCTTTGGGTACCACTCTCTACTCTGTCTCAGTTCACTGAAAATTGAAATTCACAATCAATACCCCCTAGGACATATGAAGAATTGGTATCATGAGGACAAGATCAGACTCCTCAAGGAATGCTTTCTTGGAGATTTCCCATTTGTCATTTCTTCAGTGGATAAAATAAAAATTGAACTCTTGGGTAGCAAATCAAAATTTCTCAGGCTGACAAAAAATTGCTTTCTTAAACAAAATCTTTAATGTTTTAATAGTTTCTCTGCATATGAAAATCAAGAATATAAAACAGTGATTTAGACTTGTTAAATAATATGATAGTCTACTTAACGATTTTAGTAAGAAAATGCTTTTTACCTTTCCTTATTCAGACAAAGGAATTTCCTTTTAATTTTAGTTCTTGTATAATAAACTTGGCTCTTTTAACATAATTTTAGCTACTTCAGGATAATTTATACTCTGTCCCACCCATCTATCTATTCATCAACAACGTCAGGAAATTTCCTCAAACAGAAGTAAAAACTTAGTTACACAGAGAACGAAAGGACAGGCCATGAAAAAACTCAGCAAGAAGCTGCCATGGACACCTTTTCCTCAAGATGGCTGTGCTGGATAGCTTTAGTCATCAACTTGACACACCTGAGTGGAGGGAGTCTCAGTTAAGGAACTGCCTCCATTGGCCTGGCCTGTGGCCACGTCTGTGGGGCATTTTCTTGATTGTTGAATGATGTGGGAGGGTCCGGCTTGTGGGCAGTGCCACCCCTTGGCAGGTTGCGCTATGTTACATAAGAATGCAGGCTGAGCATGGGCCAAAGGTAAAAGCCAGTAAGCAGCTATCCTCCATGGTCTGTGGTCCAGGTTTCTGCCTTGAGTTCCTGCCTTGGCTTCCCTTGATGATGAACTGTGCTGTAAGCCAAATGAATCCTTTCCTCCCCAAGCTGGTATTAGTCAGGGTGATTTGTCACAGCAACAGAGAAGCTAACTAGAACAATAGCCATAAGGACACTGCTCTACTTTTGGGTCCACCAACTGCACAGCTAAAACTACTCTGAATTTTTTTAAAGGAAGGGTAATAAGAAAACCATTGAATTTTTAACTAGGTAAAAACCACCCTGTGGGTTTCAACTATGTCCCAGACTTTAACATCAGGAAGTAGTCTATAATCAGTTTTTGAGACATAAAATCTGTAAGAAGTGTTGTATGAAGTTACAAAAGCTCAATAAAAACTTAAAATAACCTGTAGACTCTAAAATATATCTTCACTCAGAGAGTGAAGCAAATCCATGCCCTCTCAAAGAAATCCCATTCCTTGAATAGGTACAACAGCAAGGCACACTCACAGTTCACAATGTCACCTTCAAGTTCCAGAATCTGAGGAATCGGCATGGTGAGGACAACGAGGTCAAACTGCTCAGGGGAGCCTGTTTCCTTTGAGACTTCCCACTTGTCATTCCTGAGGTTGATCTGGGTCACGCACTGTCTGAAGAAGACTTCAGCACCTGCTCCAAAAGCAAAATCATCGCCATATTATCACAATTTTCCATAAGAATGAGGGAGAAATGAAGTCATAAACCAGATCCACTCAGCTGAACCAAGTCCCAACCATCTTCTGTATGCACCTCTTTCTTTCTAATTTAGCAGCAGTTCCTCCCCTTCTACCACTTGTACTCTTGGACTTCCTACAAATGCTTGTTTTGGAGATAATAAAACTACTACAATTACTATTAGTACTACTGCTAATAATAATAATACTAGTAAAAGTAGTAGCAACCATAGCCTCTTACCATTAAAAACTTACTATATGCCAAGTATTGGATACACATTATCCCAATTTATTTCAAAAATAGAAACAGATCTCATTTTGTGGCAACGTGATTTGGAAATATATACAGCTGACTCTAAAGCTTGTCACCTTTGTACAGTATCTATGAATACATTTCAGTAAAAGTGTTGGCAAGTAATTCTAGTAACAACTAGCAATGTTCCCTGTTAGATGGTCTTATAAAATGTCCATATCGGAGAAATTCAAGTCTTCATCAGAAATCAGAACTAAGAAAACATTGACCATCTCATCATATTATTTTTTCCTAGCATGTATTGCCAAATATTCTAATAATTTGCTATTTTTATATTGTCTTCCCTTTTAATCTTAGATGCTAATTTTAGAGCCACAAGCATTTTTAATGGCCATGTTGTTTCTGTGTATAGTATATGTGATGGTTAACACTGATTGTCAACTTGTCACAACTGATCTAGAATCACCTAAAACACCTGCCTCTGGGCATGCCTCTGAGGGATTATCTTGTTAAATTAATCAAAGTAGGATGGCTAGCCTAAATGTGGGTGGCACCATTTAGGATTAGAATAGAAGGGAGAAAGCTAGCCGAGGACAGCATTCACTGTTCACTGTTTCCTGACTGAGGATGCAAGGTGGCCTGCTGCCTCAAAATTTTGCAGCCAGGACGTTCCTACCATGATGGACTGTACCTTTGAGCTATAGGCCAAACTAGACCGTTTCTTTCTTAAGTGGTTTTGCCTGTGTATTTTTATCATAGCAACAGGAAAAGTAACAGAGCACAGTACGCAATAAAAATGAAGCATTTACTCATCACTTGCTTAAAAAATAAATTATAAACCAGTAACTAAAAGAAATTTCAGTTGGGTCATTAAGTCTCCTTAGTACACTGACACCTCAAATTTCAATTTTGTGAAGAACTCTGATTTAGAAACAAATCTGAGGAGGGTTACTTCATTCTGATCAAAGGAACAATTAACCAAGAAGATATTACAATCCTTAACATATATCCACCAAACTCCAGTGCACCTAAATTTATAAAAACAACACTACAGGACTTTAAGACACAGATTACCTCAATTCAGTAATAGTAGGGGATGTCAATACCCCACTGGCTCCACTAGACAGGTCAACTGGACAAAGAATAAATAGAGAGACATCTGAATTAAATGATACCATACATCAAATGGACCTAACAGACATCTTTTGAATATTCCAACCAAGCACCAAACAATACACTTTCTACTCAGCACCCCATGGAACTTTTTCAAAAATTGACCACATACTGGGCCACAAAACAAACATCAAGAAATAAAAATGCAACAAGGCTCAAAATCAACACTGGATGAAACTCTAATCACTACATGAACTCATGGCAATTAAACAATACACTCCTAAACAATGAGTGGCTCAAAGGAGAAATTAAGAAAGAAATAAAAGAATTCCTGGAATTCAGTGAAAAGGACAATACAACACAACACAACCTCTGGGACACTTTAAAAGCAGTCCTAGAGGGAAGTTTAAGGCTCTAAGTGCTTACATTAAAAAATTAGAAAGAGTCCAAAAAAATGCCCTAACACTGCAACTCAATGTTGGAAAGGCAAGAACAAATGAAATCTAAATCCAGAAGAAGAGAAGAAATAACCAAAATCAGAGCAGAAATTAATGAAATAGAAACAAAGACTACAAAGAATCAATGAGTCTAAGAGCTGGTTCTTTGAAAAGCTACACAAGATAGACCCTTAACCCAGTTAACCAAAAGAAAGAGCAAATCCAAATCAAGAAAATTAGAGATGAAAGGGGAAACATCATAACAGACACCCAAAAGATCCAGACCATTATAAGGGACTATTTAAAAAATCTACATTCTACTAAATTTGAAAATCTAAAAGAAATGAATGGATACCTAAAATCATGGGAACCACCAAAGTTAAACCAAGAAGAGATTAATAGTTTAACCAGACCCATAACATTTGAGGAAATCAAAACAGTAATACAAAGCCTCCCAACTAAAAAAAGCCCAGGCCCAGATGGATTTATAGCAGAATTCCGCCAGACATTCAAAGAAGACCTCCAACCAATACTACTTAAATTATTCAAAATGATAGAAACAGATGGAGAACTTCCAAATTCCTTTTATCACTCTAATACTCAAGCCAGGTAAAGACACAACAACAACAACAACAACAACAACAACAAAAACTATATCCCAATATCCTTAATGATCATACATGCAAAAATTCTTAACAAAATACTTGCAAACCACATACAGACACACATCAAAAAGATCATTCACCATGATCAAGTAGGCTTTATCCCAGAGACGCAGTACTGATTCAATATATGCATCAATAAACATCATTAATCATATGCAGAAAAGGCTTTTCACCAAATTCAGCAGGCATTTATGTTCAAAGTCCTAGAGGGAATTGGACTGGAGGGAACATACCTCAACATACCTAAAGCTATATAGAACAGACCTACAGCCAACACCATTCTAAATGGAGAAAAACTGGAAAGAATTCTCATTAAAATCAGGATCCAGACAAGGATAGCCACTATCTCCACTCCTTTTCAACATAGTGCTTGAAATTCTTGCTAGCGCAGTAAGACAGGAGAAAGAAATTAAAGGAGTACTAATTGGAAAAGAAGAGGTCAAACTATCCATTTTTGTATATGATATGATAGTATATGTAAGAGATCCCAATAGTTCCACCAGAAAATTCCTAGAACTGGTTAACACTCTCAGTATAGTAGCAGGTTATAAAATTAATCTACAAAAATCAGTGGCCTTTCTATATACCAGTAACAAGCAACTGGATAAAGAGTACAGGGAAATGCTCCCATTCACAATTGCTGCAAAGAAAAAAAAAATCTTGGAATAAATCTGACCAAAGACACCAAAGATCTCTACAATGAAAATTATACATCATTAAAGAAAGAGATTGAGGAAGACACCAGGAGAGGGAAGGACCTCCCATGCTCATGGATTGGAATAATTAATATTGTAAAAATGACCATCTTACCAAAAGCAATATATAGTTTCAGTGCAATCCCAATCAAAATCCCCATGTCATACTTCACAGAATTAGAAAAATGCATCCCTAAATTCATATGGAGGCATAAAAGACTCCAGATAGCCAAAGCAACCCTGAGCAGCAAGAGCCTTAATGAACAGAGATCTCAAACTATATTACAGAGCTATAGTCATAAAACCAGCATGGTACTGGCACAAAAATAGACACATAGATCAAAGAAACATCATTGAAGACCCAAACACAAGTACACGTAATTTCAGCCACATGATATTTGACAAAGGTGCCAAGAACACACAATGGAGGAAAGATAGCATCTTCAACTAACAGTGCTGGCAAAACCTGTAGAAGAATGAAACGATCTTTATCTTTCACCTTGTACAAAAGTCAACCTCAAATGAATCAAAGACTTCAATGTGAAACTGGAAACTCTAAAACTATTAGAAGAAAATATTGGCAGTAACTTACAAGATATAGGTACAGGGAAGGATTTTCTAAATTGGACAAAAGTTGCTCAAGAATTAAGGTCAGCAATCAACAAGTGGGACCTTATTCAACTAAAAATCTTCTGTACTACAAAAGAAACAATCAAAGAAGTGAAAAGAGAACCCACAGAATGGGGAAAAAATCTTCACCAGTGACACATCTGACAGAGGTTTAACATCCAGAATATAGGATTAATGCCCAGAATATAAAAATACCTCATAAAACAAAGAAGCAAGAAAACAAATTACCTCATTAAATAATGGGCTATGGATCTGAACAGAGACCTCTCATAGATGAAATATCAGTGGGTAAGAAACACCTTAAAATTGTTCATCATCCTTAGTAATTAGGGAAATGCAAATTAAAACCACCCTAGGGTATCACCTTACCCCAATCAGACTGGCTAGAATCAAGAGAAAAAAGTGATACCAAATGCTGGTGAGGATGTGGAAAAGGGAATGCTCATTCACTGGTGGTGGGATGGCAAACTCGTGCAACCCCTATGGAAAACAGTGTGGAGAACTCTTAAAACACTAAAAATGAACCTACCATATGACCCGGTTACACCAATCCTTGGCATATACCCAAAGGACTCATCCTATTATAGAGGCATTTATACAATCATGTTTGTTGCTGCTCTTTTCACAACAGCTAAGAGATGGAAGCAACCTAAGTGTCCCTCAACTGACAAATGGTTTACAAAAATGTATATTTACACAAAGGAGTTCTATTCAGCAGTAAAGAAAGATGAAATAATGAAATGTGTAGGTAAATGGATGAATCTAGAAACTGTTATACTAAATGAAGTAACACACTCAGAAAAATAAAAGATGTATGTCCTCCCTCATTTGTAGATCCTAACACCAAATCCTTTTAAATTCCATGTCCCTTTAATAAGATGATACTGTACAGCAGTCTTTTTGAAATAACTACCATCATCAAAACTTCAGCAGTGCCTGATTGCTAAACATTGTCACAACTGGGCTTCTTGTTAGTTGTATTCCTTCATTAAAGGAGGGGCAAGCAGGGTCATTGGATCGTCACCGGAGTATCCAGCTACTCTTCCCAGCCAAGTGTATGTAATTTGGCCCTAATCACACATGGTCTCCTGGATTTGGGGAGGGCTAAAGTATACAATCTGTGGAAGGCTAAGAAGAGAAGTCTTGACCCATGCTGAGTAAAG